TTTTTCTTTTTCTTTTTCTTTTTCTTTTTCTTTTTCTTTTTCTTTTTCTTTTTCTTTTTCTTTTCCTTTTTATTTTTATTTTTATTTTTATTTTCCTTTTTCATTCCTTCTCTCTAATGTGCTTTCTACCTAGGTTTGCAGCACACAGAGCTGCAGCAGGTCCCTTTTGCCTTTTTAAAGGTATTGCTTTGTGAACTCAAGCCATGACTGTCTCAGTTACTGGTGATTTGTAAAGCCCAATAAAGGTGTGCTACTGAGTATCTTGCTTAATGATTCCTCAGCCTCTTTCTTACCCATAGGACCTACTTACCCAAAGTCTTGCAAACTTACAATGATTGAAAAAGGCACAACTCCAAAGGATAAGGAACGAAGCAAGATATTGAGCTCATTTCATTTTACAGGGGACTGAGATAAGGTAGTCAAAATCCATGAAAACAGATAAGAGAGACCTCAGTCTGGCTTTAAGGAAGAAAAAGCACACCCTGACAGTGAATAAAACACACAGATGTGGGTTTCCACTTGCTGTGGAAAATAACAGTGTACTTGGTGGTTGTAGTTTGTAAAACCTGCAGCTTTTGTTTGCATCAGAAGTGATGATTACTTTATTATTTATCATGTGTTTATGGTCCACCTTGTTGCACATACAGTTGTTTTTTGGTTTTTTTTTTGGTCCTAGAAAACAGAATCAGAAAGTATCTTCCGAACAAGTTAACTTTTAAGGATTTGAAAAATTCATAAATAACATATGCAGTGGTTAGGTTACTTTTAGACTATCTCACACACACTTGTATTCTGTTTGGGTGGGTTTTTTGTAAGATTTATTAATATTTCTCTCAAGGAGAGGAATTGAAATGAAAAAAATAAAATTTAAAAAGAAAACACTGAAAAGATTATGTTAATTTTATCTGAAGGAGGATGGAGAGGGTGAACGAAAGTTTCACTAGAATTTGTATATTCAACACTGCATGAAGAGGTTTATTCCTCCTATCTCCTCTTTTAGCCCTCTAAGGAAAACTAAAACAATGTGGAAGACCGAGAAAATATTTGCAGTCACCTAACATTTCTCATTTAAATGGTCTTCCCTGCTCTTCCCTGCGGCAGATGCTAAATCAGTGTAGCACAAATTTTGTTAGATATTTTCCCCTCCCCTGGGTACAGAGAGATAAGGAACTGTGGCTAAGAAATTGCATTTCCACAGGAGGGGATGATGAGTTTCAGGAAGTGCATAAGGATTCATGTGATACATTCTCAGGTTTGCAGGTGCCTCCTGAAAGCCCTTGCACCTCGCACTGATGCAGTCTAAAGTTCTGCCATAGGCACATGGAAAGCTTCTTCTGCTAAATCCTTCTGAAGAAGCTCCAAATGAAAATTTTACTTGCAGATTTTAGCAATTATGCAGGTACATTATAATACCATATAACTGGGTCGATGACTAAATCCTTTCTCCTTATAAGACATTAATATTCTCTGAGACTGTTAGTGTTAAATTCAACATCCAGTCTAGCTGTTATGGAAATGGAAGGTTTCCAACAGTGTCTAGTTCTGCTTCATTGGAGGGTGTATGATTGACTTCCATCAGACACAGAAGCTGGCGTTTGAAAGAGCAAGACCAAAATGTGTTGATTACTCATTTCCACACCACGTGCGAAAACACGCTTCAAGAACCAGAGTCCAACACTTCATCTTTCCGACTGAAACAGAAGGTAATTAACTTTTCCCACCAGCTGTCTCGTGGTCAGTCACTTGCCATGGAGAAAGATGTTAGTCCGTATGGACCAAATAGCAAAGCCTCTCCTTGTTTAGGCTGCTGATACACACAGCCATGTCTCTTGTATTCTTAAGTCATCAGTTTCATAACAAGATTACTTGTGTAAAGACTGCATACAGTATAAAAAATAAACAGTATTATTCTCAGAAAAGGGTTGTTGTTCTCTCATTAGTTGTGATCCTTCCCTGAAGACAGAAGAATTCCTGTGCTCAATTCCTCTTGTCCACAGATGAAAATATAAGAATTATCCATTAACAAATTTCACTTCAAAGTACCTTGGACTGCTTGTCTTTTTTGTATCAGAAACATAAAAATGCAAACAGAATATCACCTTTGGTAAACACAATCTTTCCCTAAATTCCTTCTCATTATGGAACCATCTTACCTGTTCCTCCTAGTAGGATGAACAACCAAGAATTCTGTGTGTCTCAAATATCTGGAGTTTTCCCAGAGTTGTTAGTCACAGAACAGGCTGAGATTTGAGCAACAGCCCACCTCTGACATGGGTGCTCACCTGAATTTCATACACTGAGCAGGACTCCCCTTGCACAGCTGTGTTCTCTGTGGTGTCCATGACATGTCTGGGAGGTGGAACTGGAGCCTATCCTATTGCAGGCATTGCAGATTGGTATCCACTTGAAAGAGGAAGCTGAGCCTGGAGAACCTGGGGAGGGTATTGAATGGTAAGTAAGGCCCCCTCTCATCCTGAAGAGCTTCAGCATTAACACAGGTGATACCCAGTTCTCCTTCCATCATATGCCCTTTTGGTTTGGGAAACAGAACATTCTCAGCCTAAATGTGACCAAATCCAGCAATTCAGCAGGAAAGAGAGAGGTTTGATCTTCAACACTGCTGGTCAACAAGGATGACCTGATGCTGTACAGAAGCTAAACTTTGTCTCCTGGAGCAGCAATAGAGGATAACATAACAAGGAATTTGCTCCCCTTAAATATTTCTGATTTCTTTTTTTTTTTTCCAGAGCAATAATTTATGCTCCTGTTCAGATCATGCCTCACCAGATATAATGAAATTTAAGAGTGTCACATTGTAAGACAGTATAGTTGTTGTAAGGAAGTATTTTATTTATGTGAAAAAGAGTAAAATAAAAATAAATCCATTTTCCACAGAGCATAAATCTGACTTGCAACTGATCTTGCAGATATTTGATACAGACTTCCTTCCAGAAGGAAATCAGAGAAAACAGAAATCAGATTATACAATTAAATACAACAGATTTTTTCTTTTTTTGAAGGTGAACTTTTTTCATGGTATTGAAGTGGGAATGAGAGAATTTGCTGTCAGGCTATTGCTATCATGCCTTGTGGAAGTTGCTTTCAGTGCACTTTAACCTAACATCAACTACTTTGTAGGTTCCCTGGTAGGTGAGACAGGCCAGAAATGAAAGACTAAGCCTTCTCGGGGTTGAGACATCCTGACCACAGGTAACCAACCCTTGTGCTGAGGCTCACAGCCATGTACACAGTTGCCCAAGCTATTTTCCCCACAGGCCACATCACATCTGCAGTTTGCAGATTGGATTTGCCTCCAGGTGCTGCAAAGCAGATCATCCTGTTCCAGTCCATTTTGCCTGTGCAGAGAGGGCACAGCTGCAGGTACCCGTGCATAAGTAGAGCCAGTCCTACAGGGACATCCTCTGTCTATTCATTCTCACCCTCTGCACCACCCTAACTGATTTGAATCCAGCATTTCAAACTGTTGGCCACTGCCTGAAATCATATAGGAAATTTTGTGTGTGTGTGTGTGTGCGTGTGTGACTTTTGGGGGGAACAAGATGGAAGGAGTAGACAGGGCTGTATTCTCAGGGCTGTGGTTAGTTAGAGTACCAGGAGCATACACCCGTATAATGCCAGATGCCTTGCTCTGCAAAAAGCAGGTATGGGTAAAGTTCTGGAACCCAGAAGGATCTGAGCCTCTGATGCAGAAGAAGCACAAAGACAACAGGTGTTTGCTGGTGTGATTGCAGTAAATCTCATAAGTCAAGGCAGGAGAGAACAGTTTAACCTTTTCTGTTTAAGTGAGTATTCGGCTTCCCACATGCCAAAATAATGTGATTAAACAAAACCAGGCCTCCAGCTTTTTGTAGACTGTCAGCACCAAATGTCCTCAATACCTTGGCGTCTAAAAGACGTGCACTCCTTTTCGTGAGCATGTCCCTATAGTCTATATGTAGCAACCTATGGAGACCCAGAGAGTAACTGGGTGACAACCAAGCATACCTTCACCTAGGAACTCTGAGTGCATGTGTCCCTCAGTGGCTAAAACACATTCTCGGAGCTCTGATTAAAGATATCTGGAAAACTAGATATTCCTTCAGGACCACGAGTTCTCTGTAGATTGTGTTTAAAAATCACCCTTCATACTTTCTTAGCAACAGCACTGTTGCCTGGCTATTCCTGAGCCGGCTACCCCAAACCCATAGCTGATGCTGACCACCATCGATCTCCGTGCTTTTTTTGGACTCCTTTGGTGGAGTGCATTAACACCAGAGGACTTAGGCAAGTTTCTGACTCAGCTCAGGCAAGCTGGCGTAGTGGAAGGGATACATCATGCCACATGATGTTTCATGTTCCAGATATGTTGGCCAAAGCAGCCTTCAAAACATACATCTCCTCTATCATCCCTACGTCACTTACTCGTTAAGTTTTGCACCTCTATCAGTTGTATTTTAGAGACTTTCAAGCATCTCTCCAAGTAGTTTTTCCACAGCATAAAGTTGCTCTGAAGTCAGGAGCAGCACATCAGCAGGAAGCAGGCAGGTTTAAGGAGGAATACACAGTGCCAAAGGAGAATGGATCAAAGGGTGGTAAGAGAGAAAGATCAGAAGGTTTACTTCAAAAGCACTTTCCTGACCTAACAGGGGTACTGACACGTACACGTATCAATATATCATGAAACTCCAAAATCCAGGTTCAAGAAGTTCTCACACTGAGTCCTAGCAGGAAATCCAGGGTCTGCTCCCTAATTCCTAGTTCCGAATAGTTGATTATTAGAGCATATATATTCATTATAATATATAACTATATAGTACTTAATGGGACACGAAACATTATGCAATTCTTTCCTGGTTCACTTTCAGGCTGCCTGTTGCTGGTGCAACAAGCCGAAGTCTTAGAAACACTCTCCATGAGCATGGCTGTGACATGGGACATGGGTAGATTTATGATCCCTGTAGTACATCTGGACATTTCCCTGCAGCTGCCTCTGGTTGGGCACATCCATCAAAGGAAAGTTCATCTTCAGAAAGGAACATTTTTTTTTCATTAAGTAATGTTTTGTTTAGATTTATCCTACAAGCTAAACCAAACCCATCTAATTTTTTTTTTAATTCTTAGATATTTATTTCAGATTTGGAGGGAGATGAGGGAAGAAAGAACAATCTAATCAATTTCCTTTACTTGTCTCCTAAGAATGTTTCCAGTTTCTGCTCTTTTTAATCAACTAAGTGATAATTTTTTTTCTAATAAAACTTTTGAGAGCAAAATGTTCCACACTTTTCTTGTGCTTACTCAAACTAAGTACTCCCATTTCTAAAGAAAATTAATACTCTCTTTTTAAGTCTAGTATTTGTAGAAAGATTTATACCATAAGGACTTTCTCTTAAATGAAGAATGCACCAGTTTTGCCCAGTTATATTTGAGCAGATGGAGTTTTTCTCTATGAGTTCAGATACTCTGGAATTTCCAGAGCCTGGAAATACAGTAAACATTCCTTTTCCAGAGACTATTTGTATGGGGCCCTAATAATTTCAACTGTATGACTAATTCAATGGCATGCCATCAAAACTCCTGGAAACAAAACATAATTAGATTAATTGATAGTTAATCAAAGAGATTAAAGGATATGATATTCACACAGTGCAGGGAGCAGATGAAGCAGCAGTTTACAGGCTTGAATTTAACAGACTAACATTGAGTCTAACGTCGACATTGTTGTCTAACACAGCACAACATGCAGCTGGCAACCCCCCCCAAGTTTACATATGCAGTGTAGACAAGTTTTCATTATAAATGATTGTTATTCTTTTGCTCATTCTGGTAAGCAGCTGCTTATATGAGCAGCCCAGTCATGAGAAGGAAATTATTCCATTCTTAACCCTGTGTGAGGGTTCACTGCTCACCACTATGAGTAAGGATCTTGCAGACAAACCCATCCCAGTTACAGTGGTCCCCAGCCCCTTCGGCTTGTTTGGCCTCTTTCTGCTTCGAAATAATTTCACTGTGGAAACTGGGAAAGTTCTTTACGTTGCTTCACCAGTTTAAAGCATGATTGCAACACAAGGCAATGCTATGTGTTTGTGATTCAAGTGAGAGAACACCACTAACTTCTTTTTCTGCATTACAAAGTTAAAAAATTAGAATTAAACTCTGCATAAGGTTTATATATTTTCCATTTCCCCATCTTCTTTCATAGCTGTCTTTTGGAAGTATGAAGAAGAAGCACAAATTATCAATTTATTGCTAAGACACTTATTTGAAGCTCTGCAAGTGCTTCCAAAGTATTTTTCTACTTGCAAAGCCTTTATGCCACCAGAGGGAGTTCAAAGACAACTTATTCAGCAAATGTACTGAGTGGAAAAGAATTTCTGCTGTCATGTCCAACATGGAGCATGTATTTTCTATGTAAGGCATCTTTTCCTTAAGTTTTACTCAAAAGCATGATAAATAGAGTATATTAAAATATCTTTTATGAAGGACAGAAATTTCCTTTAATAAAGGTTAGAATTTTCCAAAGGCGTGATCTCAAAACCTGTTTGCCATTTTTCTGTTTCTTTATAAGCATCCTCTTCAAATGTAAATGGTACTCTTACATCCAAACCGGCACGATGTCTGTTCACGCATCTGAGGACCCATCTGCTCCTGCACATTCCCACTCCCCCTGAGGGAGTGGTTTGGGGGAGCACTGGGCAGATCAGCAGGCAGAAATAACCTCTCCTCCACATCATTCTTAAAACTAGGGTGGCCCTATGGATCCCCAGCTGTCCTAGGACAAGGATTTGGATGACTCTGTACTCTACTTCGCACTATTTTCATTAGCTTGATTCCCCCCCCCCCCATTATTTCCCTTTTCCCTGTCTCTGGTTCCTATTATCCCCAGAGAGTATTTAGCGTTTCGGACACTTTCCCTACTTTCATATTCCAGCCCCGAGGTGGCACTGGTTCTTCACTGACAAGCCATTATTGTTTTCCTAAACAGGAGTTAAAGACTAAAAAGATGTTCCAGAGGGCTAATTTGGATGCTGTGTTATAGAAGAGACAAAACCAATACAAAATAGCAAGGTGAAACAAAAAAATACTGGATTTTTTCATTGTAAACTACATATAAAATGGTATGACTCCATATGCACTTGAAAAATTTGAAGATTGGTACTTTTTAACAGGTGTTGGTTGAACAAAGCCTGCTGAGATCATAGGAGTAGTTTAGGTTAAACTTCGATTAAAACTCCTTTTTGCTCCCAGATTCGAATTTTTTGTTCTGACACTAGGCAGGTCAGTAAGGCAAGGGATTCTCAGCCAAAACTCTCACGTCCTTGAAGAAAACTGGTGATTTTCTTAAATGAAAATATGTCCACGTTATTCTATTTTTAAGGTGTTTATTGAAGAAAAAACTCTGTATGTTTCTAATAAAGAGGAAGGTGTTTAATAATTTAGATATCTGGCAGAATTCCAGTTGGATGGAGTTGGTGTGATTTTAATGTAGGAATAGCCAACAACGTAATATGTCCTTATAAATTACTACAGGTTCAGGTGTTGCTACAGCCCCCTTAAATACTGTAGGGTATATTTATCTTTCTGATTGGATGGAAGTCGTATAACATGTCCCTGTGGTAGCAGATTCCTTTTCTGCAGGAGGAAATCTAGGCTACACTACCTGGCACCTGATGGGTAAGCATTCTTCAGCTCTAGCTCTGAGGTGCATTACTTCTGCATTA